GTGCCAGAATAATTTTCTCGAACAGCTTGCCCAGGATCGAGGTAAGGCTGACTGGCCTGTAGTTCCCCGGGTCCTCTTTCCTCCCCTTTTTGAAGATGGGAACCACGTTGGCCCTCTTCCAGTCCTCCGGCACCACTCCAGAGCACCACGAGTGTTCGTAAAGCCGTGCCAGGGGACTTGCAATGACCCCATGTTTAAATATGTTTAAAACTATTCCCTCTTCCTGGGGTGTGGACTTCTTAAGAAGTTAACACAGAACAAACTTTGGTTCAAGCTTTCTCCGCTTGCTTATGTCTTCTCAGGCTTTTAGAGTTTTTTCACTATCAGGAGCCATTCCTATCTCTCTAACTTACAGGGTGGCTTAATCACTAGATCGACCACAGTAAGTCAGTTGGCAACTCCCTGCAAAGTTTCCAGTGCCTGCTAATGGGGTTGGTCAAGTGAAGAATGCCATCACCTTTATACAGGATGCTATAATGCAGCTTGCTAATTGAACCTGGAACTGTAATATATGGAGGTTACTGCTTCTCCGTACTAATGTTTCTATTTTCCTGTCTTCCTATAGGTGGTGATGCATTACAGCTAGACACGCTTTTGGAATGGTGGAGAGAGAAGAACAGCTCTTTTTGTTCACGACTCATAATAGTGTTAGACTGTGAGAATTCTCGGCCCTGGGTTAAAGAAGTGAGAAAAGTGAATGACCAATATGTTGCAATACAAGGGGCAGAAATGGCCAGAGTCGTAGACGTTGAGGAAGCAGACCCTCCCCAGCTGGGTGACTTTACCAGAGAATGGGTCGAATACAACTGTAATCCTGACAGTAGCATCAGCTGGTCTGAAAATGGACGTACAGTAAAAGCAGTGTACGGCGTGTCAAAACATTGGAGCGACTACACTCTGCATTTGCCAACAGGAAGTGATGTTGCCAAACACTGGATGATGTACTTTCCCCGTGTTACCTATCCGCTAGTGCATTTGGCAAACTGGTTTTGTGGTCTCAATCTGTTCTGGTTTTGTAAGGCATGTTTTAGATGCTTGAAAAGATTAAAAATGCGTTGGTTTCTTCCCGCAGTGCTGGACACAGGACAGGGTTTCAAACTTGTGAAATCATAATTATGAACCAAAGATAAGTCAAAGTAGGAGCTCTGGTAACTTTATGACTTCAGAATCTGATTGACTTGAAACTTTTTATATGTAACAGATTTTGCTAAAGAAATCTGCTACTTCAGTAGCTATCTTCACTTTGTTCATCTTTTTGAGCAACTACCGTATATGCAAGGGTTAGAAACTGGTCTATAAAGCAGGTGAGGCTAGAAGTATTTGAATTTTGTTACTGAGTTGTATATAAACTTATAAAAGATATATTAAATATGACCATGCACTTTGAAGACAGCTTGCATGCTCATAGGTATTAAACAGAAAACCGCCTATGTTTTAAATCAACAAAAAACATTTTTGATGGGCGTAAAGAATATGGAAACTCTCTCCCCATCCCACTCCTTCTCATGTAAAACTTCCAGTTTGAATTGTTCCACTGCAGAAAAAACAAAACAGAGAGAGTTACAATATTGCTTTTTGGGTTAAAAACAAAATGGGAAGAAAATTCAGAGGTAATCTTACCCTCAAGGTTCTTATCTAAAACTTCTACTGTGCCTAAGAGCTGAATCCTGTGAAAAACTCAATGCAAACTTAGGTTTAGTGAGGGGATTCTTTTTAAACTGAAACCAATTTTGCAGGAAGGCCAAGTTGGGATTTTTCCTCTCAGCCCTAAGCATACCCTATTCTATCCTAGTCTCAATACTTCCAACTACAGAGGATTGGAAGGGACTGAAGGTCTTAGCAGCACTTCTCCTCAAGTCAGGGAAATTATTTTCTGCTTATAAGGTAACAGAACCTCCAAGCAGAGATCTTTCTCCATATTACTGTGGGCTCTGTCCACCTGGAGCACAGGCGATCAGGAGCTGAACTCATAGCTCTTAGACCAGTCCTTTTTACAGTCTTTTAAAATTGATTTGAATATGCAAATAATCTGTAAAACCTAGATGTTCTTAAAATATTTTTCACTAACTTCTAAGCCAGAATGCTAGTCACTTCAGAAATGAAGACAAACTGAAATGCCGTTCAGGAATTTCAACAAAAAATTCTTAAATTTTTTGCCTTCTCAGATTTTCTACCTGTTGAGTTTTTAACTACCTGGTCAACTAATTTAGACAATATGGTAATACTGATGCATATTAATGGATAACTCCCTAAGGAGACAAAATGTTCCATCAGTGATTGTTTGACACACCAGCAATCAAAGGGGTTCATACGGCTAACACTAAGATCCTTTACAATGGCAATTCCTGAATTCCAACATGATTTACATTCACTGATAACTTATTACTCCTTTTCACTGATAAGTTATTACTCCTTTCTTAAATGTCCTTTATTGTCCCGCAGTATATAAATTACTTTACCAAGAAAATCATCCCCTTCACTGCTCCAAAAACAACAAAAAAGGGATGAGATAGGAGTGGGTAGAATCATATATGCAGTCAAGTTTCATTCTACTTGACTTCAAAATATTACTCACCATTAACTCAGAAGTTCTGAAGAGGAAACAACGTGGAGACAGAACACAGTTCCAAAGAGGAAGCCTCATCCTACAGACAAATTTCAAACAAACCAGGAATATGGATGGAGGAGAAAGCATCTTCAGAGGCAGTAGTTTGGTTTTGTGAAATCACTGTTATTTTGGTTACAGTTTTTCTAAGGATTCATTTGATTGCAATAATGGACTACTAATCTGCCTGACATCAACACCAGCCTTAACTCTGCACTTTGCTCACCCACAAGTCATGTGGGAGAACCTTATGCTCTAAGTACTCTTGGAAACGCTCTTGTGTTTCATGAAGATTATCAATATAGTCTTCTGTTCCTCTTAATCAGCTAAGTGCAAAAAGATCCTATCTTCTGGAAGATATCTGAGAGGTCTGTGCTTATAAAAATGTTGATACCTTTCATGTATCTGGATGTGTGATACTTCTGACCCATGTTGGGAGTGTCAGTAGGCTAGTGTGGGGTATCTAGCATATAGTACGATGATGGGCAGGACTGGGGCTGTGGCCTGTACCAGAAAAGAACAAGGGAGAAGCTGGTTTAGAGCCTTTTCTAATGCAGGGGTGGCCAAGAACCCTGTCATCCAGCTCATGGGGTTCCTCATGGGTCCAGAAATTTGTCAATGGGGGACTGGTTGTTAGCATTCATCGCTGTCTTACCCAAAGCCATGACCATTCATCCTGCTGTCAAATTTCCAGACCTGTGGGGAACCCTATGGGTCAGAGACATAGCCCCATGCTACTTATTCAGCCCATGGGTCTAGATGACTTAGGCACCACTGGTTTAATGGATGGCTTTACAGTTTGTCTGCTAGCTGCATGAGTAGTGTAAGGGACAGTCCTTAACATGTTTAAAGTCAGACTAGAAATTGGTTAAGGAGGCAGAGGTAAGGAGGATGATTGGAAAATTGACTGTGCATTTCCAGATTTTCCTGTGGGTGTGGATTTTTTTAATGGCAATATTTTAGTTTCCTGAGTTTTTAAAACTTGCTTTTTTAACCTTAATTTTGGAATCTCTCACTTCTAGATTTTTAAAATAAAAACATTTTTATAGTGGTGTTTTAAATAGGAATCTGCAACCAACCATCCAAACTGTGTGGCATTTTTGTGTGTTTTGTATTGGAGCCTTTCTTCCACTGTTGTCCAAAAGAAGATCCTATCCTATTGGTTTCATTTAAAGAAAGGACCCTGGAGGCTGGGAATCTAAGAACTCAGACTGTTAATTCCTAACTTCCACTCCAGCCACTGATAGCAATAGAGCTCCTTAATGACCTGTGCCCTTCCTGGGCTCTTTCACAAGATCAGTGGAGACAGAAGTGGAATTCCCAAGCCACCACAGGGTTATAGGGCTATTACCCCCATGCCATGTGGTTGCAAGCTCTTATGGAGGCAATGTTCTGTCCCTAAACTTGTAAATATCACATAGGGATAAACAACATGGAATGGCCCCTAAAGTTATTGATCCTGTTGATAGAGGAAACTAAGCCACCTGTAACAGTCCTGTAGAACAATGACCTGCTAATGCTAAGTGGAAATGATTTTTAGAAGCTTTAGCAAATGGGAACTCCAACCCTGTGATAAGAACTATCCAGGCAAACCTTACTGGGACTCTGACTTCAGCAGAAATCTACCCAAAGTGGTCTCAATCCAAAAGTCTTGGTGTCAGAAAATGCCAATTAAATCCAGTTCCAAAGAGTATTATAACATGGCATTATTTCCAGACTACTGTGCTGGGGTGAATGCTTCAGGATGAACTGCGTGGAGAGAGAACGTTGACTCTAGATTTAAACTGATTGTTCTGATGTTTGATTTCTCGGCTGTCTACTCTGCAACTTCATTATAAAAGTATATATCTCTATTATTGCAGTGAAGTTACCTTATGGTGGCTTTGTTTACATTTTAGTTACCTCCTGAGTAGCACATGCCTTGCAGAAACATAAATGCACTGATTATGGTAAAGAGCTAGCTTAAAAAAAATGCAAATTGCCAGATACTCACTGGTGGGGTTTTTGAATGAATATAGGAGGAAGCCATTTCTTTAATTTTGCACTATTGCTGTTTCATATTTTCACTTTAATTTTTGTCTTTGCCCAATCTTCACCTAAAACTTTTCCTCAGAAGATTTTCTTTAGGCTTCTGAATTTCCTTCCCCTATAAGAGGCACTTTCTGTTTGTTGCTCACATTGCATAATGTAATTATGTCAAATTCTTGTTTATAAATAATTCGTCAGAATTTTTCTCTGGGGAGGTTTTGTATTAGGCATATCTGATTTTAGCATCTGTAAATGGACTTTTGTGCATTTGTAACACGACTTAAATATACTTGTTGTTTTGGATGCTCATCTCCATTTCATATTTTTTGTTCATGATTTACTCCTTTGTTTTTGCTGTCATAGAAACAGCAAATGTGTCCAGTTTTCTGTGTTCTTTCTTGCTTTACATCAGTGGTTCCCAATCTCTTTGTCAGTATGACCTCATTTCCTCAGCATGGCCCCTCACTCCTAACCCACAGCCCTGCTGGCCCTCTGCCCCCTCCTCTTCCTCCATCAGTGTCCAACCTCCGGCTGCCACCCATGGGATGAGGGGGAGGATGCAGGCTCAGGGCTCCCCACCTTGCTGCCCTCCCCCTGGGGGCCTCCATGGCCCAGTGGGTGGGACCAGCCTGGGAGGGTGAGGAGGCTCAGTGCCACTGCTGGAAGCCCCACACTGCCACGGCGAGGTGCCCCCTTGCCTGCCCAGCAGCAGCAGCACAGAATTATGCCCCCTGCTGCTGCCAAGTGGGCAAGGTATGCCTCACCATGGCAGTGCAGCCAATGTGGAGCTCCCAACAGCAGCACCAAGCCTTCCCTCCTCACAGCTGCAGAGGCCATGGGGAGAGGGCAGCAGGGAGCAGGCAGCCTACATCCACCCCCACCCCAGGGGCAAATTAACATGTCCAGAAAGTGTGTTACCCTATGAGACTTTGGGTGAGGCCAGCAGGAACTTCTAGGTTGGGGCACAGGGACAGGCCTCCACAGGACCCTTGTAAGGGCAGCGGCCAAGTTATTTCCTCAAACTAAATATCTGCTCTGTATGTAATAAACTAAATATATAAGTTCTGTATGTAATAAAGAGCTGTTCACATTATAAGCCTCCAGCTACTAGAAGACCTACGTGCCTAAATGCTAAGTGTTGTAATAGCCAAATTCTCTTTACCCACTGTCACATGCCAGCTGGGCACTGTGAGTATATCAGTTTAGTTGCAGACTGACTGAGCACTGCAACTTTATTAGCCACTGGGCTATTTGGTTCGGGATCGAGAAGGTGATGTTGCAAAGGAAAGAAATGACAAGATTCACTTACAAAAAAGAAAGAATTTTACTTATGACAACAAAAGATATAGTTTGCATATATAATAGTTAATAAAAAGGTTAAGTTAATAAGCAGACAACATAACAATACAGACTAAAATTGACAGTGATAATAAAACAGATAAAGAAATTAACCAAGAGTTCCCACTTGGTTAGTAACTTATCGGTAGTCCCTCGGTTAGAAGATGCACAGCGAGTTGAATCAGCGAAGTCAGATGTCTCTGAACTGGGCTGCTCGAAGGATACCGGTGGAAGCCAGCTATTATCCTATGGGGTTAAAAGGTGTTAGAAATTATTAAAATAAGTTACTGCCCAAGCTGGGGTTTATCCAATAAGCAAATTGCAACACATCTTCAGGTTTAAAATTAACAGTACCCCGCCTAAATCCAGCCCCTTCAAAACTCTCTGACTATGCTTTTTTTGAGCTGTTCTTTTTGAAATGTACTAGATAAGCTGGGCAGTTGAATCCAGTTTTTATTGCTAAATTTTGAGCAAGAAAGAACTATTAGGTCAGCTAATTTCACAGCTATAGCTTTGTCTTTGAGGCCTAGTCAGATCCACAAACAGTTACATTTGTGGGTTACAAAAAATACAAGCTGCATATTAGACAAAAGTTCCAAATGCCTCCAAGAAGCACATATTTATTGCTTATTAATTTCTTTGGTTCTGGCCATCACAACCCACGGACGGTAAAGAGAATCGGGCACCTCACAATGGGATCCAAAACAGCCAGTGCACCGAGCAGGAAACTGCCTGACGTCAACATGCAGCTGCCCTGTGAGCCAACAGGGAAATGTGAAGTACAGGGGCAAGTCTAAAATCCCAGCCCTCAGCCAGTCAGGGCTGCAGAGGTCTTCCATCCACAGTCCTCTCCTACAGATACGCACCTATGTACTATCTACAAAAAGTGGAGCAGAAATCAATCTGTTTTCTAAAATGGGGCAAGCAGAGGAGGTAGTGTTGTGCCCACTTCTATAATAGCCTAGTGGCTACAGCATTTGTCCACATGAACAGTGTGTGCCCCTGGTGCCTGGGGGGGCACGGCTGCACCGGTGGCGGTGGGGGCATGGCGGTGGTGAGCGGGGAGCTCATGCAGATGCCGCCAGCACTGTCAGCAGAGGGGTGGGGTGGCAAGCACCGACCAGGGCTCGGCGACCACCCGCAGGCACCGCTGGCGGCATTGGCGGCAGCCAGGGGCAATCATGGACTGCCCACAGATGCCACCAGCGGCGGAGTGGCAAGCAGGAACCGCCCACAGGTACCACTGACAGTGTCGGCGGCACCTTTTTGCAGGGGTGCACCGCCACATGCCATGTTTTTTTGAAGACTGTTTCACATATAAACTCTCACTGGCTTCGCTCCAGCCAGCTGCTGCTCTTTCCACAGACTAACATGAAAGTGGCTACAAGGACCCCAGGACTTGTTCTTCAAAATCTAAATTGACTTCTGGGTATTAGCAGGGTTGTATTGTGGGGGGAGGGGGGTGCACTAGTGCATTTGCACCCCCCTTTGATTCCTATTCTTTCATTTGTTGATAAGGGAGTAGAAGCAAATGTTTATTTTAGTCAAGTGTTTGGTATTATTTTGTTGTTGCTTTTATATTGTTTTTATTTTGGATTTTAAACCACATTTCCAGACCCATTTCATTGTCACTTCCTGTGACTTCATTGGTGTCAAAGGTCACATGACATCACTTCCTGATGTGATACTGCTTCCTGTGAGGTCTTTGAATATGGCTCGCCGGCCCACTGGGGGGTAAAAAG